AATTTTTATTTCCTCATATAACATTTCCCTGTCATTCCTGTCATTTATTTTAAAATTAGTTCCTAAGTTATTTTCAATTTTATTTACAATTTCTTCGAATTTTTTAGGGTGTATTATATGTATAACTGTTGTCGTTTGGTTTACTATCTCTACTTCTCTGATCCTTATTTTTGCATATTCCGTCTCATTCTCTAGTTTGTTTATTTGCAGGAGTGCGTTGATTGTCGTTATAATTGCTAGAATTATCGTGATTTTCGCCATTATGGTCCTGAAATTTAAATTTTCGTTTAATTTGATTTTTGTAAGCTTTCCTGAATTTATTATCTTTTGATATTAAATGGTTTCCTTCTCTATTATAATTACTTATTTTCCTATATTTGGGTTGTGTTTTGCTAACTCTATAATTCTTTATATATTTATTCTGGAAATCTTGAATGTCTACTCTATTTTCTTTCCTATTAATATTATTTATTATATCTTCTTTCTGCTTTTGTAGAGTTTCCGCAAATTTTATCAATTCTTGTTCAGAGAGAAGGTTATTTATGAGATCAATTGGTCTCTTTTTTATCGTAGAATGTATAGTGTTATTATAAGCGGTTATTGCTTTGAATACTTTCTCCCTCAGATTGTCATTGTTATTTCCATCAGCATTAAAAATCCTTAAGTGTTCGTTTAGTGTAGAGTGTAATCTTTCGACATCTGAATTTCCTGTTTTATTATAAGTGGTTGTTAAATGTAGGTTTATTTTATTATCTTTTAAGAATTGTTTCATTAAGACTGTATCCGATTCATTGTCTGTTACTAGAGTTTCTGGTTTGCCAAAATATTGGATTCTTTTTTTTATGACGTTTATAATTGATATCCAAGTTCTGTCTTTTAATGATTTAGCTATTGCGTATTTTGTTAATTTATCAATGCTTGTGAGGTATATTACGCCTCTTTGTAGATACCAAATATCGAAATGAACGACTTCGTTATGTTTCTTGGGAGTGTCTTTAATATTTAAACTATGTTTGATGGGGTTTCTGTCGAATTTCGCCTTATTACATATTGCGCAGTTATTAATGTACTTTTGTATTTCCTTTTTGTAATTTAGGGTAATAATGTGTTTTCCTTATTTCCTCTGTTATTTCGTTTATTCCCCTGTGATTATTTTCCAAGTGTTTATCTTCGATCAATGTTAAAAGTTCTCCTTTGTCTGTTATGTCTCTTAAAATTATGTTTGATTTCATTATTTTTAGTTTAGCATTATTTGCGAAAAATTTTAAATATAACTCTTGAAATTGTAAAAATAATTTGTCATCAGGGCAATAAACTACTACTAGTCCTTTTTCAGGTAAATTTTCTCGCATTAATTTTAAAATGTCGCTTTCAGGTGTCACATTTATTGTATTTCTTATTTTCTTCTTATATAATATTCTTTTTGTTATTGTTTGTCTTTGCGCACTTTGAAGTATGAGTTGGTTTTTAAATATGTGAATTGCGTTTTCCGTTATTTTTATGTAATACGTACTGTCAGTTTCTGCACTGTGTACCGTATCTATGTCGTCATCATTGAACATTTCATTTATATTTACTTCCGCCGTGTTATTATTTTCATAGTTTAGTCTGCTTAGGCCATCCGCAATTACATTTTCTTTTCCCTTTATATAGTTGATATCGAAATCGAACTCATTTAACTTAATTTTCTATCTTTGGAGTTTAGCATTTGGTTCTTTTAAGTTGCTCAGCCAAATTAATGATCTATGGTCTGTTTTGATAGTGAAATGTCGGCCAAATAAGTAAGGATGAAAATATTTCGTTGCCCAAACTATTGCGAGTAACTCTTTTTCTATTGTACTATAGTTTTTTTCATGTCCGTTTAGTGATCTTTTTGCATAAGAGATAACTTTATCGGTTTGCAGTAATGCCGCTCCTAAAGCAAAGTTGCTGGCATCTGTCGCTAGTGTGAAAGCTTTATTGAAGTCTGAGTGGATTAAAATTGGATCTGCTTTTATTAGCTCTTTTAGTTTATTAAATGCTTTTATATAGTCTTTATCATTATGATTTATTTTCATATCTTTCTTTAAATATTTGATAATGTTATACGCCACTTTCAAGTAATCTTTAATAAATCTCCTGTAATATCCCGTAATTCCTAAAAATGTTTTAATCTCCTTAACGTTTTTTGGAAGTAGAATCTTTTCTATTGCTTCCACTTTTTCCGGGTTCGATTTAATTCCTTCTTTTGTAAACATGTGGCCTAGGAACTTTGTCTCTTGCCTTAGAAAATTGCATTTATTTATTTGTATTTTTAGGTTCTTCTCTTTTAATCTAATTAGAATTTTATTCAGTGATTCCAAATGTTCTTCTATACTTGTAGAAAATATTAGGATGTCATCCATGTATACGATGCAAATTTTTCCAATATAATCTTTTAAAACTTCGTTCATTAGCCTTTGGAATGTTGCCGGTGCATTCCGTAATCCAAAGGGCATTCTTAAAAATTCGTAATGTCCGTTTGCAGTGGAGAACGCCGTCTTGTATATGTCGCGCTCGTCCATTTCAATTTGATGGAAACCTTTAGCTAAATCGAGAGTTGAGAAATATTGGCATCTTCCCAATTTGTCAAATATATCGTCTATATTTTCAATTGGAAATCTGTCCTCCGTAGTTACGCTGTTCAACTTCCTATAGTCGATTACAAGACGCCATTTTTGTTCATTAGTTGCGTCCAGCATCTTTGGAACCAGCCAAATAGGGCTGTTGTAAGGACTAGAGGATGCTCTGATTATGCCTTGAGTTAACAATTGGTCTATTTGCTTTTCTATTTCCGGTTTGGAGATTTCTGGATATCGGTAAAATTTAGAGTAAACCGGAATGTCATTCTTGGTCATTATTCTATGTTTCGTTGTACTAGTAAATGTTAAATTATCATCTTCATAATTAATAAATAATTTTTGTCTATACCGTTAAGGTTATTAGTGTCAACGAATTCTGTGACACATTTATCTCTTACGTCGTTATTGAAGATTTCCACTTCATTTTCTTTATAACTTATTCTGTTGTATATATCTTCTTCTTCTGTTAGATAGAAATTTATTGTTGCTTTATTTGTTTTTAAAATTCTGTTCGGGTAGTCTATTATGCAGTTAAATTTCGTTAAAATATTGTTACCTATGAGTCCGTCGAAGTTTTTGTTGAAGTTACATTCAAGAAAATCACATATAAAATCTTTTTCATTGAATTCTTTGAAAATTGGGAATCTGCAAAGTTTCTTAACTTGCATTGATGAAATGTAGTTTGCGTACATGTGTGTTTATTACTATATAGGGTAGTTGTTTCTTGTATCCCTCCGAAAATTTAATGCTGTGTTTCCAATATCCATTGGCTCTGGTCTATTACCATTAGATACTCCTGACCGATTATAGTTTGCTGATTGATTAAAGTTTCTCCTTTGATATCCATTTCCCTGTTGGTTAAAATTTCTCTGTGGGTTAGTATTTCCCGGTTGGTTTTGACTCGTGTATGTTGTCTGATGATACGACATTCTAGTTTCGTTTGATCTGTTGCCATTATTGTTGTATTTATTATTATTATTATTGTTCATATTCATTGGAACGTAGCCGCCGTCATATCTGTTGTGTGGCATATTATTGTTAAATCTTTTCCTGTTATAATTGTTATTGTTATTTATATATTGATTGGATCCAAACGATGTCCTATTATTCGTGTTATCGCTAAAATTAGTCTTACGGTAGCTATTTGGGTTTGGATCTTTTCTTGTTTGCCCAAGGGCTGTAAAGGTTTGATGTCGAGCTTCTAAGATGATTTTGTACGCTTTATCTAGATTATCAGGGTTTTTTGCTATAATCATTGTTTTTGTAGGCTCTGGAAGATGTTCTTTGAATGTTTGTAGCGCTATTCTGTTGACTTCTTCCGTTGAAAAGCTCAAGTCATTATGTGCCAATATTCTATTATGTAGTTTGTTCCTAATTTTGTTAATTCTAAAGTGGTAATTTTCTATTGTGGAATCGAGTCTGGTGGTCTTCAGCTCGTCCATGAGTTCCGTTGAACTCCTCTTTTCCCCGCAATTGCTCAAAAGTATTGGTTTCAGTGTTTCCCAGTCATTGGTTTGTCCGTATCTATGAATTATTTCCCTAGTTTTTCCTACACATCTTCCTTTCAAGTAATTAAACAATATTCTTTGATTGTTTTCATCGAAGATTGTTATTGTGGGTAGTATGTCTTCGACCTGTCTAATAAAGTCCGTCAATTGGTTTGGGTGGCGTCCGTCAAATTCTGCAATTCCATTAATGCAGTTAAGGGTAAGTTGAAAGTGTGATATGACATTTGCCTCCATTTTTAAATAAAATAATTTATTTCAAATCTCTACTGTTTCTGAAAAATTTATCTACCCTGTGCATTTGTAGTTTTGAAAAGGAAATGACCATAAGAGATATTTATTTTACTTGACTTTTATACGTATGCTTTTCTTTATGCTGTTGTATATATATGCTATATCTTTATATAACACGGAATAATTAGTAAATTATATGTTATTGTATGTCAATATGACTTGTCAATTAAATATGAACAAAATATAAATATATGTATATAAAAAAAAAATGTTCAATTCATTTTTCTGCTTACTGGTTTTGTGGCTGCTTTTGCTTGCTCGTGCTTTTGTTGTTCTTGTTTTCTGTTGTTCTTGTTTTTGTTATTCTTGCCTTTTTGTTGCTCCTGTTTTTGTTGTTGTTGCCTTTTGTTGCTGTTTTTTTTTTTTTTTTTTTTTTTTTTTTNTTCTTTGCTAAGTACTTATTCTGAACTGACTCTGTTTTCTTTATTAGCTTCTTATTTATTCTTAAATTCTATGAAATATGAGTATTTGTTTACATACATTCCATGGAATAAAACATGCTCTTATGTATTTATTTGTTTGCTTGCATTCCGGAGTGAGTGATAATTCTATTTTCGTTTATTTTTATTATCGCGAGAAATATATGTACATATCTTAATAATATAGGATATGTCAATATATGACTATATACATACATATATTGCTTTTTTACTAATGGAACTCCGAAATTATATATGAACTATCTTTAATAAAATTATTTAAATTGATTTATTTTTCTGTTTAAAAGTTGTGAGATCTCCACAACATGATCGGGGAGCCTTCACGCTTTTGACTAACCAGATCGAAAAAATTGTCGTATTTCCCTTTCACCGCCGCTGGTTCTTTAAGGTACTTCTTAAATAATGAGACATACATATACGATTACAGCGAAAGCAAGCAGTTATATGTATTTGGAAGAAAATAAGTAAATTCAAGCAAAGCATTTCATAAATACTAGGCACCATCCTCTTGATTGGCAAATAATTTCTCCATATCTGAATCCATCGTGGTTTTTGGATTTCAATTGTTGATTTAAAATACATATTAAAATACATATCTGCTAAGAAAACCAGGGTTCTTCCAATCTGCCCCTAATTTTTGGGATGAGCCAGAGGGTTGGCTTTGTAAATTTTTCTCCCTACGCTACCTTTCTCGTAGGCTCTTCCACTTAACCTTGTTTTACTGAAAAATATATACAATTTTAAAATTAATTAACGCACATACATATGATGAACGTGTTTTATTCACCCGGAGCATTCAGCCCGGTGCTAGTTTCTCCCATTAACTTTCCCTTGTATTTGATGTCCTTCTACTTGGTTTCCTTTTTGTTGAACAGGCACCAACAACTGAATTAAGTTTTCCTTAAATGTCTGAAAATATCAAATTTAATTAGAAACTAAAACCCAAAAATTCTTACATTTATCTTCCTTGAAATCAGAATTTTGAATTTACTTACTGTCCAAATTGAAAATTGCATTTGCTCAACTTGACGCTGCGTCATTGTGGGATGTCTCTTACAAATTATATGGCCATGAGGATTTTTGACAGTTGTTTAGCGCTCAACGCTCCAATTTAGGGATAGCAGTTAGTCTTATGTTTGTTGGCGTGTTTATAATATGAATCATTTCTGATGTTTACTGCTTGCTGTAGTGCTATTCTTGTTGAAGATTTATAAAATGTATATAAATATATTTTTATATAATAATAATTTCATTTACAAAAAAATCAGTAAAATACTTTTAAACAGAATAGTCTATGCAAAAGTCTTTAATTGTGTCATCCGGAGGAGGCACAGCTCTTCGGCTAATAGTCGCTGCTACTTTGAAGATGAGTCTAAGTAAAATTAAAAAATACATTTTCGAATCAGAATGTTACAGGAACAGGTTGTTGCCAGGATCAGAATCGGGACCGACAAAATTCTGTTTTAAGACTTATATCCGCTTCTTAAGTAATAGCAAACCTTATAAAAACGCTTAAGTTCATGGTTAAGTAAATGCAGGCCTTAAGTTAAAGAATGGATAACGTTATACCTCTTTTCGATAAATGTTCCTCGGAATCTCTTAAACCTAAATCAAGTTTTAAAAGTTTATTTCCAAATGTTTCTATATAAGATCCGTTTGCAGCCGAAAAATTATGGTCAGAATTTTTTTTTAAATGATTTGAATTTTGAAAATGGTATAACTGAAACGATTGCGCCTATATCAATCAAAAAATTTAATTTGTTAAATTTATCGCAAATAAAAAGGCGACGTTTAATTCGGCTTTTCCTCGACAGCCCAATTACGTGTTTCGCTCTCTCAATTACGAATTCGAATTACCCCCATTCACACGGCACGTAGTTTGAGAGTTTTCAGTTTCACTTGTTTGTTCCATGTAAAACCGCATGGATGAAAGTATTGTAGAAGTTAATAAAATCTTGAATTGAATTGGTAATGTAATGCCAGTTTCTTTAATAATTTCTAATTTGTTTCTTCTTTTATGTGCAAATAGTCTTTAGTTTCAAATCAATATTTGTGTGAGTGTTTCTTCTTTTATGATACTTCTCTCTTTTGTTTTGATTTTTCAGCTGATTTCGATAAGAATTAGGGAAGGCATTGATTTTGTCGTAATTCGCATGGCAATTGAGAACGAATTACCCACTTTTACTGTAACTCGCTTACGAAAATTTTTATGGCGAATTAAATAATTCGGCATGTACAATATTTGGAGTGCGAATTACGATTATTAATATTTTTATTATCAACCACCGTCATAATGGAACGTTTCAATTCAAAAGAATCTGCATTTAAAATATTTGTGTTTGGTTTAAAATTGCAAGATTGCAAGATTGAACACATTTGAAGGCATAGCTCTTAAATTTTTCATGGTACCAACAAATATTATTTTGACTATTATTCTTTATGGGTCTTGATGAATTTCTAGATGCATATCTAGATTTGTAATTCGTTAATATCAGTTGTAATTTTGTGTAAAGTTTGATACATTACAGTTGTTAAATAACTTAAATTTTTAATCCATTGTTCTAAAATATTATTGTTGTATTATTATTAGTTATAGCTATTGAAGATAATTAAATCGAAAATTTTATCAGCCAAGATAATAATTTCATCTTTATTTTGATTTCTAGAAGAAGTTAAATGAATTTGAATTTGTTGATGTACAATAGTTTGCGAATCCATAATTTAAAAAGAAATTCATGACTAACAATTGAATCAAAACCAGTTAACGGTTTCATATATCTAAAAAGTTATGAAGGTGAACGATCACCATGTTCAGTATTTAAAAATAATTGCTCCAATCTCATTGCTTCACTAAGAGAAAATCTCTCACAGAGAACTTATTTCTTTCTTAATTGTTTCGTATTTATTCGAAAATGGAGGTGGATTACTAACATCGATAATTTTTAAAAAAGTTTCTCGTTGAAGAGAAATTCAGGAGGTAATTTAATTGATTTGGAAATCGGTCTAAAATTATCTTCAAAATGTGTTAAATTTTGTGTTGTATATAAATCTGTATTAGAGCTGGTGATTTCATTTTGTGTTTCTGTTGTTGTAAAATTACGTGTGCGTATTTGTTAATGCATATTTAATGAAAGATTGTACAATAACTTGAAATAATTTAATTCAGTAACTCAAAAAGATTCATTATATAATAATGATACTATTATTATTATAATTATTATTATACTGATCTGTTCTATTAGATAATATTGTTAATTGTTGTAGTTCTTGATATTGATAGAAGTTAAATTCTTCAATTAAATTTCAAAATTGATGGCATCTAAATGAAATTGATAAACTTCAACAGAAATCAGTGCACAAAAATGGTGTTATATCGGATTGATGATTGATTTCTCGGGTTTCCAATGTTTCTGTTAGTTTCCTTCTCTTTATACAAATATATTTTGATAAATAGTTTTTAAAATTTTGATTTAGATTGATTTTCATAATTTAAATTTTTTAAAATTTCGTTTCATTTGATTAATCAATATATTTGTTAATTGTTTCGATACATTGATCTTGTTAAAACTGATCCTTTAAAAAACCGCATATAATGTGTATTGAAAACTTAAATTGTTAAGTTGACCAAAGAATTCAGTAAAGTTATTTGTATGTAGTTTGAATGTTGTAAATTATATAATATTCCATGAGCAGGATTGCCAATGGTATAGCTAAAAATATATTTATGTTTGTTAATTTAGACTTTTATATATTATTTTTTTAATTAAAATTTATTTAAAAATTTCTTGAAAATTTAAATATTTGAAACTCTAAATTCAGTAACATAAAATCAGAAAAATTTAAAATAACAATTTATAAATGATAAAGTAGATTCCTACATTGGTCTATGAATCTAAATACATATAAATGTTGTATCATCAAATGCAAAAGCAGAATGCAAATTGCATTTATAACGACTCCGGCAGCTTCAGCAGATTTCCCCTATCCCTAAATTTTTGTGCTTTATATATTCGCGACTGAGGTCATTTTATTTTTCGCACAATTTTGCTTCCAGCTGAAAATCAGTTTTGCTTAACTTCGAAAAAAGCAAAATCAGCTCGTTTTCATAACACCATTTCGAGTAGATATTGATTTTCAATTCCGATAAATAAGAAGTTCTGTGCCGATTTCTATAGCACCGCTGAATATCTCATTGAAGTTATTCCTCTCAAGTTTTTATTTTTGAATATTTTTAGATTTACTGCTACTTGGTTAGACGCTTTCCCAGACAATCTGCTCCATGAATTGAGTGTGGAGTGCATTACCCGATTTTTCTTTCACGATGGCGTTCTATTCGAAAATAAGAACATAAAATAAAAGAGATAATCCATTATCTTTCAATTTCTATCTACTCAGATTTTTGGGTCATATGGGCCGTTGTAGTAATCCAATATGTACTCCCTGTCGCCAATATTGCTTTAACAATCGCTTTTACTAAACAAATTTGCATGCAGTGATATTTTTACTCGTATACAGAAAATGCATAAAACTGAAATTTAGTCACTTTCGTCAGATGTTGAATTTAGACTTTCAAATCTTAAACTTTTGCGCCATTTGTTTTGCATTCTTATACTGTATATCCACGACATCCCATTTACGTGTATTTAATTCGCCATACAAATTTTTGTGAGCGAATAAAACCAAAAGTTGGTAACTCTTTCCCAATTCCCCTGCGCATTACGACCAAATTATGAATATAATATAATAATATCATATAATTTTTAGTCGTCAATTTTTTTTTGTTATGCAACACTTGTCACGCTCAGTACTTTCGCTAAAAGTCAAATAAATAAATAAACATTTTTTAGAGTTGAAGGTTCAATAAAGGTATTTAGTTCAAATTAAAACTTAAAACGCTTTATATATAAAAATAACTGAATATTTTACGTGGAGCGCGCCTTCTCGATGGTTAAAGAAACTGATATCACATTACATTACCTATTCAATTCAAGATTTTATTAAATTCTACTAAAATCTATCATTTTCCATGCGTCCAAAAATATGTACATATCTATGTATCAAACAAATGATTTTCAATTTATTTTTTACCTTTATTTATGAAAGCTTTATTCTCCGCAAGGTTGGTTATTCATCATCATCTGGATCAGGGTCAGTAAAAACTTTTATTGGCATATCTTCGTTCATGTTTTCTTCATATCTGCACAAATCCTAATCTTCGGAGTATACATTTTCAAATTGGTTTATTTTGTTGTGATCTGGTGAAAACATTCACCTTGGGACTTCTGTTTTAGAGGAATAAATCTTAGCCTCTTTAAGAGAAACTTAGTGTGTTAATGTATTTTTTGTGATTCAAAGACAAAGTTAACAAGAAAGTAAAACAAAGTCTAAATCAGTTGGTGTGTAAAAAGTCAGATATGCACGTTACTTACTTTACTGGTGTAGACATCGCTTACGCGTATAAAGCCGATTTAAAAACATGGCACCATTCGTTTCTTCTTTTTGCTGTTTAGCGCCAATTGGAAATACCAAGTGAAGCCAAGTCATTCTCCCCCTGATCTTGCCAATTGAGTAGAGGTCTTCCGCTTCCTGCTGCTTCCGCCAGCGGGTACGGCATTGAATACTTTCAAAGGTAGAGTGCTTTCATTCATTCGGACTACATGACCTGTTGTTTGATGACAGCTGTACACATATAATTGATTGTACCTTCTCTATTTAGCTCTGCAGCACGTATTTTTTCTCCAGCAATAAGTTAAAAAAAGTCGCACGATAAGGAATCGATCCTGACGGAGCTTTTGGTATTGCTTGTTTGTTGACGGTAGACTTCACACAATACGCTCGACAGTATCTTATATGCGATATTAAGGAGGGTTATCCCACGATAATTGACGCAGCCTGCGGGGTCCCCTTTTTTTATGGATTGAGCAGAGCACACTTAAATTCTAGTTGTTGTTGTTGTTGTAACCGCAAAATTATTCCCCAAAGAACTTTTTGGGGAATGTTGCGGGAGTGACAGTCCTTGGCCGGATAAAATTCCGGGTCGTTCCGGTATAAAGAACCGACTGCCGCGAGAACTATTGGATTTTAGTCGCCTCTTACGACAGGCATGCCTTACCGCGGGTAAATTCTTGAGCCCCTAACCCGCAGGGGGTTAATTAATTAAATTCTAGTCGTCGGGCATGCTTTCGTTCGAGCATATTCTGTAAAGTACAATAGCTGATGCATGCACCTTGTCAGCTCTTCACCCCCATGTTTGAATAGTTCTGCCGGTAGGCCGTCAGAGCCCGTTGTTTTTCAAGTGGGCGATTGCTATTCCAACTTCTTCATGGTCAGGTAATGTAATGTCTTTCCCATCGTCATCGATTGGGGTTTCGGATTCACCATCACCAAGAGTCTGCTCCGGTCTTGAAACCTTCTGTAAGCCGTCGTATCTTCTCATAGAATTTTCGAGCATTACCTATAGGGGCCAGCTTTGCAAGCTCCTTATACTCACTCACCTCGGCCTCTTTCTTTTTTTGCCTGCAGACGCGTCTTGCTTCGCTTTTCATCGCTCTCTATCTATTCCATCCCGACCGTGTTGTGGTCGATCGCTAGGTCGCGAGGTAGGCAGTCTGTTTTCTCCACTGCAACACGACAGTCCTCATCATACCATCTGTTTTTGTGGCCTTTACGAAATCCAACAGCTTCGTTGGAAGCTCTTCTTAAGTAGTTTGAAATAACGTCTCACAGCTTTCGTATACCGAGTTGCTGATGAGTGCTCTCAGAGAGCAGAGGTGCAAATCGAGTGGGAGATCGTTCGGCAGTCTGTTGTGATTGCAGCTTTTCAACGTCGATTTTTCCTTTTGTTTGTTGACTGGCATTCTTCGATACACAGAGGCGCATTCGTATCTTCGCTGCAACAAGATAATGGTCCGAGTCAATGTTGGGTCCTCGGAGTATACGCACGTCAAGAACACTGAAAACATGTCTTCTGCCTATGACCACAAGTAGCTTGATGTATTTTTCTGTGCTGGAATCTAGTACTAAAGACAACTATATTTCGGACCTCGGCGAAGTGGATAACCCAGTAGGGGAGGTTTCGTCGTGGATGCTTAATTTTCCAACAGTCGTAACAAAGTGGGCAAAGAAGGTACGCCCACCCTGGCATTAAAATCGCCAATTACGATTTTCACATCGTGTCGAGAGCAGCGCTCGTAAGTATGCTCAGGCGCTCGTAAAAGGCATCTTTTGCCAAATCGTCCTTCTTTTTCGTTGGGGCCGTGGGCACAAATCAACGATATGTTGAAAAATTTCGCTTTGATTCGGATTATGTCGAGACGCTCGTTCAGCACAGTGAATGCCAGTACTCGACGACGGAGTCTCCGCCACCACAAATCCAACACCAAATTTGCGCTCCTTCATATGGCCGCTGTGGCGCTTCTTGGACGGCGGTGATGTCAACCTTTATTCTTGCGTGGACACCAACCAGCTGGGCAACGACACCTTCTCAATTAAGGGACTTGACATTCCGGATGCATGCCCTCAAATCGTAATCCTTAAAACTTTTGCGGGGGTCGTCAAAAGAAAGGGAGTATCTCATCAGAGGATTTGCTGAACTTTTCATTGGAGCTGGTTTCTACGTGGCGGGTCCCAAGCTCAGCGCACAACCTCGATAGGCGAGTAAGTTTAAAGTTTTTACACATTTATGTAGCGAGTCGCTTCAGCAGACCCTGAAATATGCACATATACAGCAAAAATTGGTTGGTTTTTACTTCATTTATTGTATAAATATTAATCCTATACAATAACAGGTTTACACTTAATGAGATCGGGAAAATTTGCTTTTTTGCAAAAATATTAATTTGAATATAGTGTTGAACACAGCACTAGCAAAAATATTAGTATTTTTTGGCAGCCGCGATAGCCGAGTGATTAGCGTTGCGTACTGCCATTCGGAAGGCCAGCGTTCATATCCTGGTACGACCAACATCCAAGAGTTATAGTAAATTAAAAAAAATTAAGTTAAATATTCTAATTGGGCTGATCAAATATCCGATTATATATATGACGTATAATAGAAGCAAATTGCCATTCATATATATAGACTAATATTATTTAAAAAAAATGAGTCAAAGAAAATTGTTTTAATTAATAGAAATCATGCTGAAAAATTAATTTGTTTGATTTGATTTTTTCATTTTGCAAACAATTAATTGACATACTGTATATAACTCTTTCTTCCAGAAATATTCTACTGTAACTCTGTTGAAAATAAATGATCAAAATATGTAGAAATGTTAAATAAAATATTTCAGGAAAAAGCCAGTTTTTTTTGCTCCAGCTAAAATAAGTGGCTTTTCGAAAATGCTTATCATATCAAAATTACATATCCCGTTCTTTGGGTTCACCTGCATCTTTAATATTATACATATTACATCCCAGATATCATGATCCTTCGGTTTTCATGGACAACCAAACTGCTAAAAAGTTTAAAGTATTCACCACAGAAAACTAAGCGTAAAAAATAATAGGAATAGAAGTGCCCTTGAACAGAATTTCGATGCTGAAAGAAAAGTATCGAGTATGTACTTGTATTTACTAGTATCGTTTTATTCCTAGTCTAAGAACTAAAATTGGAAGAGGAGAGATGTATGATTTCCTATTGGAGTAAAATGATTTGGTGGAACTAGGAAGTAAGATCACACATTTAAGAGGAAAGTGGGTAAAACCTGCACTCTCCTAACCAAATGTATATTCCGCTACGTAGTTTTTTAACCAGTTTTGGGTGTTAGGGACACTTTATAATTCCATAGCAGACTTTCTGAAATACATAATATATGATCTTTTAGTCTGGTGGCGACGAAATTCTTATACACGTATATATAATAAAGGTCTACTTTTTCAAAGCTCCCGATCAGGATATTGTTGTCACCAAAAGACTCTGGAAGCAAATAAACTGTATTTTAAAAAAACTTCTTTCACTTAAAAAAAATATAATTTCCCTTACGTGTTTGTTGCACTAAGCCTCTCTATTCATTAACGATGCATTACTTTATTTCATAACCTAAACTTTTTAAAAAGTAATCACCAATGCCATTAAGCAATGCTCATCAGCAAATCTTTCAATTTGTATTTCCAAAGTTTCAAAAGAGCTTTCAAGTCACCATAATAGCTAACTCCCTTATGCAAAATTTGTGTACTTCGGCTGTGAGGAGTTAAAAGGTCCCGAATTACCCTGTAATGGTAAATATCCTCTGGGTTGTATGCATACATCAAAGTTTAAGAAAAAATGTATTCCAAGCAGGTTTGTTTTAAATTTTTTTAAGGTCTTTTGTATGTTTTATAGATTAAAAGGAATATGTTATTACCAACAAATATTGAGCAAATAAAATTATGATTAAAAGATATATCATGGCTCAGTTTTCATATGTTCAAGGAATATGGGCTACTGACACTAAGGCTTCAGAACAGCTAGACCAATCTTGAGGAAATTTCCAAATGAATCTGGGAAAGAAACGCAGTATTAAAACCAATTTGGATGTATGGTATTCAACTGTGGAGTACGGCCTGTGCAACTAATATCGATAAAATACAGAGGTTCCAGTCTAAAAAAATTGGTTCGATTTACTTAGATTTCGGTACATAAGTTGCTTTTTCCTTTGATTAACAGTCTACGCATCTCTGCGGGAACTGGACCAGGAACCGACATATTAAATAATAAAAAAATCGGACTATTGTCTCAGGGAAGAGGACCAATGTCAATTGCAAAACCAAAAATGTTATACGCCCACAATTATTGAGTAAATAAAGTTATTATAAAAAGATATCCCATGGGGATGTACGACAACGAAGCGTTGCAGGGTACAGCTAGTATTCTATAAGAATGTACATCTGCTGGCGTACGCCGATGATATTGACATAAGTGGCTTCAGAACCCGCGCCATGAGCTTTGCTTTGTTAATCAGTTATCAAATCCGCGAGCCGACTCCCACGTGACTGTTAACAGTCATAAGTTTGAAGTCGTAGGTAACTCATATATACATATATCACATAATCCGTCATATTTAGAATGCATGTAGAGAGCTTCAAAGAAAGATTTTTTAAACCCTTTTCGAAAGTATACAGCAAAACTATGTACATAAATACATCATCTTTGTTTAAAAAATATTATCTGTTATTACTTAAAATCTGATTATTTGTTATTTAAAGGAGCACCAGTAACTATGAGAAGAATGGGCAGAGTGGAAAGAGTTCCACATCATGACCTCATTCCTAACCCCAAAGATAGAAGAGAAGTGCACAACCAAAAAACAGTGGAACAATATACTCCAATGAGAGTAGATTTTGGCGGTGGTAATTCGGGCAGAGATACAAAGCCTGTAAACAATTCAGAATCATGCACCAATGTTTCTCACAAGGATACTGCTAGAACACAATCCCACCTAGATCATCTCTCAGCAGAAGTTCTTTCTATAATTGCGCAGATGTTCATTGACCCGATACCCAACCCAACTCCATCAGGATTGGAGTACTTGCCTTCCGGCACCGAAACTCCCATAAACGAGTTAAAAAATGGCTTTGCAAAGTATAGCCCAGTCATGTGGGCTGATCCCCTTCTGCCTTACGAGCTGATCGTGATGACTGAGTCCTCTTCTCATAATAATGTCCCAGCCGTCGAAGTTGATGTTTGCAACAAATACGCAGATTTATCACCTGCTCTTAGACTTTCCCCTCTAGGAGAGCAAGTTAAGAGGATTTCAGGGATGGTGAATGATTTACACGATCTTTACATTTTTGCTCCACACATAGTGGGCCTGGTACCACTACTCACAATAATGGACAGTTGCGACCTATGGACAACGCCTTCTTTAGATGAAGCAGCCATCGTTCGTCTGTTATTACTTCAAACCTTAACAATCGATGCACACCAACAAGTCTACGTGTCGTCAGCCATCAATCAGTTTGCCATAAACATGAACGTCAAGCGGACGGACTGCAAGCTTGTCTGGACACCTGCTATTGACACATCAGAAAAACTGCAAATAGGGGTGGCAACATCAACGAGTAACTTGTATTTCCGTACAATCGATGAATACGCCGCACTATTTTCTGGATTGGCAACCGACACTGTTCAGATAAGAGATAAAACAGAAAGTGAGGTGGACTTTAGTGATATTGTCTTTATACCAGTAAAGTGGGCGTGGAGAGGACAGGCGTGGTTGGTACCTTACATTCTTTCATTTACAACAACATCATGGTGGAATCATGCAGTCACCGTAGATGTTACCTACTCTAATGCCGTGGCCGAAAAGACTGCAGGTACTTTAATGAAAGCCAGATTCTTACCTCGTGCCTCAACCGTTTATATTCCTGGACACTATAAGACTATATGTCTTATTATAGTCGACTCAACACAGCAAAGTTTGCAGGATGCACAAAATTATCCTCTCTGTCGCGGAATAGAGGCAACGCGCCAAGGAAATTTTGACTTTGCAAAACAAATTTACGCCTATCTTGGTAGAAGAACAGATGACTATGTCCGTCGTATGAGAGTAACGGACATCACGCAAGCTTTGAATCGTATAAAAGAGCACATGTGTACGCCCATGGAGTTTCGAAAATTGCATGTCAAAACATCCGTGCTTGCAACGTCAAAATTTAATGGATATGGATGCTATCCTAATCCAGATCCCCCTCCGAGAGTCACTGGAGATAGGGAAGCAGACCGTAACAACATCTTTGGTCCAGCCCAGTTTAATGCAAAGAATGATATCAAGGTGGCAGATTACGTATTGCCAGATCTCGCGTCTCTGACAATTGCTGATCGGACAAATCGGCTATTAGCACATCAGACATGGAGGTGTGATCCTCTTGGCTACTTGGCTTATGGTTTAGTGAACACATCAAGAGATGCCTCTCATAAGCCATGTCTGTATGAATACAGAGCTGGATGTATCCAGTATCAGTTGGGTCAGGCGTCATCTATTATCAGAATACTTAGAGTTTGTGGCATATTCTCCCAGGACCCCGATCCTGATAAATATATTTCACGAGAACCTTTTGACGTTTTTAACACCACTATTGGATACGGTTCTTTGATCATAGGATTAACGAATTGGGCCTTTGTGCAGCTAGGTGTTTCCATTTTTGAGCACAACAGACTTTCAAAGACATGGAGGCTTTTACCCGATCAATATCTTGAGTTATGGCCATCATTGACTGATGGCTTTGCAATCCGTTCTTCCGAATTTATGGACAGATTGGTTGATATTGAAAAATACAAACTACCACTACAGTTGGAATTGCCCTTGGTGGTACGTGGCTGCTATTGCCACCAAGTTCGGACATATATTTAAGATCAAGACGGGGCGTAATAGTGAATTCTTAGCGGATAAAAACAGAAATAGCTCAAACAATATGATAGGATGGCTATTATTACCAAATGTCTGTGCTCCATACGAACTAAGCTTATTGACATCAAGCAAACAATATGAGAAAAAAATTTGCAGTAGTAAGCCGGCATTCTTTGACATCTTAACGCCGACATTCAATGGCAAAAGTGAGACATATAACTTCATATCGTGGGATTTAACTCAGGTGCTAGACTCTAAGAAAACTGAGTTCCGTTCCAAAGCCCATACAAGTCCACCTCACACTGCTGGCATTGTAGAATTGAATGTGATAATTTTGCCAACAGCACGCATGTCCAAGATGCAGACATATCCTCGTGCCTTTGTGGCATCTGGCAATCGTGTAGACGGGTTTAAGGAAATGCCCTGCGTTTCTGGTGGACTAAAGTGGCCCAATGTTCCCTCTGACTGGGTTTTGAAAGTTGGATTAGCTGTCCTTCCCCATCTGAAAGGAGGAGCCTCTACTTTTGGTGAGTAACCGTTATGGCTTAAGGTCGATAAATCGTAGAATGCTTTTATTATGTTTACAGGACCATATGTACTATCTGTTGACGATTACTCAAAAGGCTATCAAGAAATTGAAGGTGTCGAGCTACAACACGGAACACATGATTCTGCTCTTGACCCACTAGATCACGAACAGCTTAAACAAGGATAATAGGCCCGCAAAGCATTCTAAGCACCATAGTTGTGATGTATATCGTGCAAGAAATTAAGTTGAATTGAAACTAGTTGGTTAATTTGCTTGTATATTTGTTTAAGCTGGTTTGTCGATTTTCCGATTAAATAACTGAAGTAATTCCTTATTATGCACAGACACTTGTAAATTTAGTTTTATTTATTCGCTTATTGCGCGGGCGTCTGAATGGTTTTTTAGACTTCATTTTTGTAAGCTGATGCAACTGACCCGTTAAATAGCGACTCTTGCGGATGTTGCATGGTGTGATGCGCCTTTTTGGATCGTCTCCTACTTGCCAGTGAGTCACATTCTACATTGACGTGTGTAAGCGTGTATCTGGTTGCAACAGGAACTGCACTACGCGTTGCCATTGTTATTCTTTGCCTGGTGTTTAAGATCAAGAGAGAGTTCCTCTTTATTGCTGTGCTTCAAGCGAAGGAGATCCATGACACGGATTTGATTTTCGGGCCTACTGTGAACATTTTCGATTCGTCTGAGACGTCACTCGACCCGCGGTAGACCTTTGTCTCACTCTACGACGCAGTCGTCAACTTAAGACTCCGTCTGTGAAGATTTTCACTTACACCTCATTTGGAGGTACTCCTCTTTCTATCAGTGACTGAACTGGTGGTAAAGTGCTTTGATTTTCTCCCATCGGTTAATGAATTAGCGGATGCAGCGGTTTTTTTTATGGATTTTAAAACTCTTTACTGCGGATTCCAACAAACTGCTGGGTGGTATATTTAGTTCATTGATGTTTTGTACAGCATACTTCTGAGTAATATCTACTAAACATTCGTTAGAGAATTTGACGAATTCACGTTCAGTTGCCCTCTGTGCTCCGATGTACCTTTTTCTATTGTCGCTTATCATTTTCGAACATCGGAGTGGAGCGCGTTCGTTGCTTGTGTAGAGTGCAAGCTTTGCATAGAAAAGTGTGTTTTTTGATTTAAGATTTTAGCTTCGGAATGAAGTATTCTTGCTTGACCATTCCTTCGTGGAAAAGTATTGCATGTAGGAACATCAAGTGTAGGTTACAAAATCTCATCAAACAAAATGAAACATGTACGCAGTCACTTGAACTGCTCTATGGAGTAAAGACAATCTATCAAAAAAATCTGGTACCAATTCGAGCACATGATACGCCTCTATTTTATGCATTCCTGGGGGAGAGGTACTCCGTGTCTTTGAATTAGACCAAGAGCCGATGTGGTATGTATGCCACTTTGGTCCGTTTCATCAGAGTGAAATGGCTTAGTCTTGTTGTTTGCAGCCACGTGTTCCGAGATCATCGGCGTTTGCTCCCCTTGTCGCATGGCGCCATACTCCGCATGGGACATATTCCGAAATTTGGCAGGTGAGATTAGACACGTATGTGAACGGTATCTTTTCGAGCCACTCCAGTATTGTTTCAGAGTCTAAACATAAAAATATATTACACGCTTCTAGTTTTCAGTGGGGCAACTTTGCTTTTTACAACAAGTAGAGTTGATGTTGTACGCTTATTCGCTTCCCTTCGTAAATATATAGTTGCACAGAAGGCTTTGGGATTTGGGTATCCTACTCTGGAGTAAAATTGAGCCATAAATGCATTTCAATGTGGGTAATGGTTGGCAAGTTTTGAGTAAACTGATTCATTTGACCGAGGAAGTGGGCTTTGCGCATTCATCCTAATCAATGCCAACGAGCCATAGTTCTTGTAGCAGAATCTTTGCTCGTATCATAACTGGCGATAGCCATCCTGCCGGGTCAAAAAGTTTTGGGACCGACGAGAGAATCTGATGTTTTGTCGCAGCTGCGGTTGCTGGAATAAGCAGGTTGGTGCTTGAAAACCCATTTGTCAATTCATTCCATCCAACGCCAAGAGTTGTGGTAGTCAGAGAATGTCTTCTCTCAAAATTTTTTCCAATTTGGGCGGGTTATTGGCTGTTACTTTCTTGAGATTAAAGCCAGTTGGCTTTCGCCAAGTCAATACCACGACTTCCGGCAGGACATCATAAACATACTTTAGGTTTTTAAGTATTTTCTGCCAATCGATGCACAGTATAGATAGCGAGATTTGGTGCACAATTAACCCCAAATGTGTTTGTTTTTAAATTATAGTCAGGAATGGGAGAATCCGCTGAGTGGCGAAACAGAATTAACTTTTTTTAAATGTCCCCATTGAATACGTATCTGACATGCGCCATTGTAAGATTAGCAACATAAGAACGGGTTGGAATGACGGACCTGCACTTAAAACATCTTTTAGAGAATTACCTGAATTTGATGTATTCGATGCGTTGAAAACCACTCGCACTTTATTCGTGGCTTTATCTGGTTTTACAACTACATCATGTGGGAAATAGAACGACTGGCAATAATCGTTATAAATGATGTCCCGAGGGGTTGTGAAACCAATATGGCTCAATGTTATATATTCTTGAAATACATCGTTGTACATTGCTGCCCCTTAACTTCCTTTTCTTTTGAAGCGTGCTTTGTATTCTAAATATATGCATGATAATGTAGCGACCGCTTGAGTTGCGAGTCGTTGTTGCAGAGTAATCATCTTCTGATTTTCAGGCATACCTTGTGTGGATTTTCTCCTATTCACAGAATTGCCTCAGTTATGCACTGAGCGTTTCATTTGTTCTATTTGGGTGGAGAATGAAGCATCTAAGAACAAAACTTAGAGAAATTTTAGATCACACGGCCGACCATCCGGAGTGTTCGAACGGTAGTTTAATTTTTTTTTTATAAAAACATAGTAAACATATGTGATACTCAGAATCTGCGAGTAGATTTGAAAGTGGAGACCATAAAATATTTTTGATTGGTTATCCATATAGCATTTTATTTAATAAAAATAAATGCTAACACGAATTCATTTAGTTTCTTCATTTCTCTTTGTGCTTTTCGCATAATTTGACGTTTTGTTAAGTTGAGGTGCCACCTCTCTTTCATTTTAATATAAAGGGCATGTCGCTTTCAATTATCATTATAAATAACGAAATCCGACAAGTTATATCGAAAAAGTTATTGAATGGCACCACTGGCTTAGTTTTTTTTTCGCAAATGCAAAAAATTACAGCTCCAAACGTGACATCTACCGGAATAGCATAGGATTATTCAAAATAGCACCTCCAATTGGAATAGCTTTTATAATATATGCGAAAAATTGTAAAGTTTTATGCTGCCGTATCCGCATGAGAACATGCCTCTGCGCTAGTGTTAGCAACCAGATATCGACCCAAAGCACGCCTCAAGTTATGGGATGCAACCCGAAAAATAAATAGTTTTATAATTTTTAGTAATTTTTTTTGCTATATTATACCTACTATTTTTCCACACGTCCTTGAAATCAGTCCTCTTGTTAAAAGAATTGAAAAACGTGGTCAAAGTGTGCAAATTAAATAATTACACTCCATTCAAAATAACTTATTTTTAATATTGCCTTCTTGTGGTTGATGTTTGCCATCTGTTTAGCGTTTCTAAAGGATGCTAAAGGTAATCAGTGCTGCGTTGTTAATCAAAACAACTATAGTAGATATTAGAGAGGCTTCGGTGAAGGCGGATTTAGGCGTAGCACAGATTTTAAAATTTGACTCTCTGGCTGGGTGTCAATCGGATGAAAACTATGAATTTTCACAGCCATCATTGAAATTCTGACATTATTCGTGGTGAGTACAAAGGTCAGCATTTTTTGTTTGTTCAAATACATGCTGTGAAAACCATAAAAACAGCAAACGACATTTGTGTGTCAATTTTCCTTTACTTACATGCTTACTTACTTTACTGGCGTAGACACCGTTTCCGCGATTATAGCCGAATTTACATCGCAACATTTATTCCGTTTTCTGTCTGCTTGGCACCAATTGGAGATACCAAGTAGAGCCAGATCCCTGGTCTCTCCAACGGAGTGGAGGTCTTTCTCCTCCTCTGCTTCCATCGCTAAACTATGTCAATATCGCCGTATATCTCATACAGGTCATCATTCCAACGACTGCGGTATTCACCATTCCATACTCGTAGAGGACCGTTAATCTTAAGCAGAACTCTTCTCTCGAAAAGTCCTAACGACGTCTCATCAGATGTTGACATCGTCCATGCCTCCGTAGCAGGACGGAAACAATAAGTGACTTGTAGAGTTCAGTTTTCTCTCGTCGAGAGAGGACTTTACTTTTCAATTGTCTACTCAGTCAGAAGTAGTCCCTGTTGGGAAGAGTGATTCTGCTTAGGATTTCAAGGCTGACATTGTTGTTGGTGAAAATACTGATTCCAAGATAGACGAAGTTATCTACGACTTCAAAGTTAGGACTATCGACAGTGACGTGGGAGCCGGGTCACGAATGCGATTAATGTTTGTGTGAAGACCGAAGATATTTCTTGTTGTCCTCTTGCCTTTCGATTCTATATTCAGTCTGGACAAAGCAGAAATTACCACGCGGTTGTTGAGGCCAATAATGTCAATATCTTCGGTGTATGCCAGCAGTTGTACACTCTTAAGATTATACCTTCTCTGTAATAAATTAAATAATTCACACGATAAGGAACCTCCCTGTTTAGTGTTCCTAAAGGTCAGTTTACATAGCGGCGTAAAGGCAGCTCCTATTATTGCTGTCGAAACATGCTTTAAAATCAACGAAGAGATGGGTCGATCCTCTTTTTTCGGATCTTTTCTAAGATTTGGGCATGACGAATACCTGGTCAATGGTAGATTTACAAGGTCTAAATCCACAACGATAGGGTCCAATCAGTTTGTTAACGGCGGGCTTTAGTCTTTCACATAAAATGCTCGACAGGACTTTATGTGCGACATTAAATGCGCTATACATTTTTCATTGGATCTGTTTTCTTTGTGGCGGATCCCAAACCCAGCGCACAACCTTCGTGGGTGAGTTTAAAGTTTGTACACATTTATATAGCGAGCCGATTGCTCCAAGAGCGGTGCTCGACTGATCGGGTAAGCCGGAGTGGCTCCGATAAAGCTTCCTTTCTTTTAGCCATGACCCATGGCTCCACACAGGGTTGCTCAAGTTTAAAGGTTCCACGACGTGGACGCAAGAGAAGGAATTGAGTATAGCCCCACGACTGTAACAGTATACCCCATTACAACCCCAATTTCGCGTTACACTAATTCCAAAAAAGGAAAGAACGGATACTCGAAAGCAAAGCATTGTTACCTTTGTTAACGACAACTCCAATAAAGGACTGAAGTAAGTTAAAATTAACATTAGTTATTTCATAGGTCTTAAAGTAATTAATTCTTCCAGAACATCATTCCCTACTGGTAAAACTTGGAAGTTGCAGTTAAAACAGCTAGTACGAAAGTATAAAAGTTTCATCCTCTACAGAACAGATATGAAGAATATGTATACATAATCGTATATATTTTATGTATATGAATATTTTTTTACTAATTTTTACGTAGCGACGATGCGAGAGCCAACCGCAAATCCTTCCAGCTCGCCAACAACTCCTTCAACCCAAAGAAGAAGTGCATTGTGCTCCCGCACACTGCAGCCGTCACTATGAGTCTCCATAAATTGAAGGAATACATTATTCGACGGGCCGGCGGGGACTATCACCATATAAGTGTAGATAATTTATTAGTTTGGTCTGACTCTGCTTCAGACTAATAAAATTCTTTTTATAATATATTGATAGTATTTTTATTTATTTTAGACAATATAAATAACATATTGATTATTTCCATTCGTAAAATTAGACGTAAACCTAGCTTGATCTGAAGTTAAACGTTCCTTAAATGACTTGATTCCAAGATCTGGAGAAATTTGACACGGGTAGTTTTGTCACCTAATAAATAATATCCGTTTGGTGGGTAGCTACCTCTTGCGTATAAGGGGGTATTAAGAAGAACACGAGTGTCGTGCACGGATTCAGGAAAGCCCACAAAACCATTCAGTAAATTTTGACTCACTATCTACCACTGCTGGCACTTGAATAAAATAAAATTTCTTATGGTTTATCCTTACGTGAGCGACTTACTCACAAGTTTATATTTTGTGAAAATTTACAATTTCATTCGACACAGTTAATTGCAAAACTTTTCGCACCATAGTAAATATTTCCCTCTTCATCGCACCATAGGAAATAAAAGATACCAATTGGCACACAGCCTCTGAATAACTTAATTTTTGTTTGCACTTCTTGATTATTTCGATCGGAATCGCATAATCATGTTCTACCCTCCAAGAATTCATGTACGAATCCAATTATTTAACGAATATGGCGTTCTGTATTTCGATTTGGCAGAAAATTACGGTCTAGTCATTTTTTTATTTACTTTTTTTATTTTATGAAGCATGAAAACCTAAAAAATATGAGAAAGGCTGCTATTAAGTGAAGGTGCAAGCAAGATTTCGCATTTTATTTGGGTCGCTTCTAGCAAAAAATTTTAAAAAGGAATAATTGAAATTATCGATGATTTATAAAAACTTCTTTCACTAACCTTAGCAGGCTTGAGAGATCACATTGTAGCGGTAGCGGTTTCGCAACTGCATCATTACAAAGTATTTTGACGTTTTGGAACTCGCCCTTACATTTAGTTTTTGTTAATTCTAAAAATACCAAATGCTGTGCAATTATTTTGCTAGTTTTCCCTTTAAAATTTAAAACGGTCTGCTGAATACGGGAAACCGAAAGAAAGCTGAGGATAGGTCAGACGAAATTCCATCACTATCGCAAGCAAAAATCCGCAATGTGATTCGGCGTAATTCACAGCCAATACAAATAATAATGAATGCTAAACCGCATATGGAACGATTATAGCGTCTCTAAAGACTATTTTTAAGTGGTTCCGAAGATTCAAGACCGGACATTTCTCCGTAGAGGACGAACCCAGAGAAGGTCGATCATAATATTCCACTGATGATGTCTATGTAGCTTACATACACGAAGGGTATCACGAATTTTAAATGAGCCCCAAAAAAGGCTTGAGTGAATTTTGCTCAATTTTTCCCAAACAAATTCTAAAATAGTCAGTTTAGCATCTTTAGTAAAGTTGTTACTGGTGGTTCCATAAGAACGATCCAGAAACCAAAGAGCAGTCCATGGTAAGGAGCCCAACAGGAGCAAACTCACCGGTAAAATGTAAGCAAAAAAATCAGCAGCAAAAGTGATGACGTCAATCTACTTCACTTGATCTAATATTACAGCTGGTATTCCACTGGAAAATGGTCAGACGATAATTGCAAAATGTTATACCGAAGAGTGCTTACCAAAAGTTTTCAAAAATTTGTTGAAAAACAGGTAGAGAGAGGACATGCCTCTTTTTACATCATGACAACGCGCCATCCCACTAAAGAAGCGAAACGAATGGGTCTGGTAGTGAACGAGGGCAAACAGTCATCGCAATCGCGATACGGCTCCCATTTCACTGTTGACAGTCATAACTTCGAGGTCGTAGATAATTTCGTCTATCTAGGAACCAATATCAAAACCAATATCAAAACCAATAACAATATCAGATCAAAAGTAAAGTAAAGACGAACAAAAACCAAAATCCACAAGTCCCTCATCGTTCCCGTCCTGCTATATGGTGCGGTAGAATGGACGATGACAACATCTGATGAGACTTCGTTAGGAGTTTTTGGGAAAAAGGTTTTGCGTAAGATTTATGGCCCTTTGCGCGTTGGAAATGGTGAATACCGAACGATGAAACGATGAACTTTACGAGTTATACAGCGAATAAAGAAACAGCTGAAGCGAAAACTCCAGCTTTGAAAGTTTTCGATGTGGTACCCGTTAGTGGAAGCAGAGGAAGGGGAAGACCTCCACTCCATTGGAAATTCCAGGTAGAGAAGGACCTGGCCGTACTTGGTGTTTCCAATTGGTGCCAAACAGCAAAAAGAATAAGCTACGCCAGTAAAGTAAGTAAGTAAGTATGTACTTGCATTTCATTTATTGTTTGGAAGTAAATTTTACCCTCTTTTACTTTTATAAAATTTGCAATGCAGTGATCGCGAAACAGAAGGTTGGCTCATGACACTTAGATAATTGCTCCCAACGCATTAAATAAATATATTGTGAGAAAATAGATATATTGTTGAAAGAAATGGCAAGGATGTCTTCTGTCTAAAAAAAAATCAAATAGCAGATTTATAAAAGTGAAATTTTGATTATGTAACAAACTTACTGGGTGACACTGAACTTAGAACACGAAATAGTAAACAAGTTTACAGAATGGTAAATTTTATTACCTCGATAGAATTTACCTGTTAGTCTGGCAACGAAACATCGTCATCGATTGGGGTAACGGTTCGCCATCCCTTGGTGTTACACCTTCACTGCCTTTCAGTAAGCTAGAGAGGTGTTCCCCCATAAACTCAGTATACTCTCGGCATCAGTTACTAGATCTTTTCTTTGAAACCTTCTGTAAGCCGCCGTATTTTTTCGTAGAATTTTCGAGCATTACCCTCATTACTCTTTATTCTTACACAAATTAAATGAAATTCATAAACTAATTGAAATATTGAATAAATAAAACAACTATTTATTCTATTTAACCATTATATATGTACATAGAACATAATCCCAAAATAAAAATTCACTAGAAGTTTGAAGAGCAACTTGTCTATATAAACAATAAAGACATGTAACATAGATAAACATACACATGTATTAAAACAAAATGCACTTACTAATGTAAGTATACATCTTGTAACCACCTAAAACTAACAAATGTGTTGTGAGTATACACAAAATACATACATATTTAAAAGTAGATTCATATCCCTAAATCCTGATTTCAAATAATATAATTTGAAGTACAAGTGTATTTACAATTTACTTAGCTAAAACAATTTTTATATACGTATATACAATTAAATATAAATTTGTGTGTATTTTCTATATATTAATACAATACAAAGTTCCCATACTATTCATATTTGTACGAGTATATAAGTTAACACTCACAAGCACACCCACATACATATGTACATAGGTATGTAGCTGAGAAGCCCTTAAAAATGTTATTTAATATTTTTTTAACCCTCAATTCTCAAGTTGATTTTAACTTGTCATTTTTCAAATTGTTAATGTTTTCAAGGACAGTAATAGGTATGATAGTTCGACCGTATGTTCCTCAATTTGTGAATGATTAGTCAGAAAGCGAAAAATGGGAAAATATTAATTTTTCAGTTAAGATTATTATTATCAATTATTTAAGGTATTGTAATTAGCATAGGTCTGCAGAAAGCCTATTTCAATATTAAAGAAATGTCAAACTAAAACGACTATAAATGATTAGTAAGTACATATGTATGAATAGGATAGCTTTGTTCGCAGATAATTGCATTTGAAAAGATTTCTGTGAATGCGATGTTCCAAAAGAGTAACTGTACGTGTCAAAATATATTATCTTGACTTTTCGTATTAAGTAAGTACAATTGGACAATGTTTAATTATATTTTAATAACAAGCTAAATTACCTACATTACATGAACGAGCATAAGCACATATATGTATATGTATATATGTATATGCAAGTATACATCAAAATAACTTGGACGGTATATTCATGTATCATGTACATGATTCAAAAATAATATTATATATAAGTATATTTTTAAGCAACATGTGGATTACTAGACATTATAATAGCTCAATTTAGTATTTCAGAATTATATTTGATATCCATATTTGACAAGTTTTCATCGAGTTCGACTAAAATATTTATAAAAATTTAAAAATTAAACAATATATAAAATACTTATATACCCGAAAGACATGCTTATAGTTTCGCTATAAAGCATTGTTAGGACACAACAAATATTTTAATGATTCAGTCTTTAATACGATACCTTCTTTTTCTTTCAAGGGCTTAATTATAAGTAAGTTATTTTATATATACCTATTTGTATAATGCCCTGAGGTATATATTTATTAATTTTTAATAAAGATTTCTTAAATTTTTCAAAAATCTATCGGGCTCTTCAGTTATAATGAAGGAGACAATTCAATATACATATTTCAGAAATATAAGCCAAAAGCGGTGCAAAGAAAAAAATTTAATGTTTGTTAAAGTAAAATAATAGCTTTTGATTATGTCCTCGCAATACTTTATAACAAAATAATAGCCAATAATTTAGAAATTATTAAGAGTGAGGAAAGATAAAACCCAGAGCTGTATTAAGTACCAATGCTTCGGGTATATACATATATTGTAATAAGTTTTGTATGAAATATTATATAATAATTGAATATTCGTAAATATACGAATCCATGTATTTGCGTACAGTATTTTAGTCTTCTAAACTTACGCATTTCATACCATATTATAGTGTTTTTATTTTCCTCTGTACTGTGTTTATTATATATTTGTTTAACAGCGGTTGTACAGGTAGATTACATACCCCGCCTTCTTGCCTATACATTAATTAATTATAATAGGTATATATATGTAAAAAGATGTATATATGTATTATATATTCGACTTAATATTTAATTTTTCGGTTCTTTAGCTTTCTTTTTCGTTAGATCGAATTGAGCTGTTGCTAAGTAATTAGAACCTTCTAGATGCAAAGTGCTTTGTCTATGCGAACTCCTTATTAAACAGAATAGAGCAAGCAAGAAGAGTAAAGCACCTAAGGCGAAAAGAGCAATTATGATAACCAAACGTATTTTTGGTGGTACAGTTTCCGCAAAGCTCATCAAGTCGGTTATTTCATCCGGAAGCTCATCTATACCTTCCTCGAACCACAATATCGGAAACACGATGTCGGGGAAATTAGCCACTTGTTTTATGTCAAAGACTTGACTCACCGCCAAATTGATCTGAACTCGTGCGCGAGCTCTTAAAGTAGTTCCCATTGTCTGAAATAATTAAAAAAAAAAATATAACTACAGAATCTAAATATTATATTAAATTGATGTACTTTTCGTTAATATTTACTCGCTTTACATGTGAATAAACTACTAACTTACCATGGATATCAATATTATTATAATAATTATTAGTAAAGCAAGGCCTAATATAGATAGATAGATATACTTTTGTACCTCACTCAGTCTCAAAACTTTATTAAGTAAATATTTTCGCAAACTAAGTTCAATTAAATTTTAAACATCACTGAATTGTCTACGACAAAGGAAAATGACTTCTCAACCTTCCAATTGTAGAAAAAAATGTAAAATTAATGATTTCGGGAAGTATTTAAATACGGTGCGAACTATAGCCGAGTTGGCAGTGCGTAATGCCATTCCTAAATTAATCGACATCCAAATTATCGAAAATTAATTTAAATAAAAAATTAAGATAATTTTTTGAATTTCCGTCGCCCTTCAGTAGAGGATGTAAGCCCCTTCGAGTGTATTTCCGAAATGGAATAAAAGCTCCTCATAAAAATCCACCAACCTTTCGGAGGCAGCTTAGATTAAATTTCCCATAAACACCAAGTGGAGGAGGAACTCGGCTAAAAATCTAATTACCGATAAGAAAACACCAAGAAAGTTATATATTGTAGTTAGAAGACCGAAACCTTATACCTTTACAAACGTTAAATAAAATTGCAAATCTAAAAATGATTTTTCGGACAGATTTTATGAAAACAAAATTAATTTATTCCTCATAGCAATGCAGCTAGGTACATAATTTCATTAAAGCTATAGACTTTGCAAAAAATTAAATCATAAAAATTTTACTCCGTACCTACCAAGTTTTGCTAAGTTCCGTTGGTTAATGTCTTAAATACTCTTTATTATATACATCGGTGGCTAAATAAATCTAATATGCTCTTTGTACATAGGCAGGTATAAAAATATGCTTCGAATTGCAAAACTTTCTTTTTTGTCGGATAAAAACACCACAAGATCCTAGTAATAATTTTGTAATTTGTCGCCCAATAGTAGCTGAAATGCTCATTATTTTTACCAAAAAAACTGTTTTTCTCTGTGGAACTCCTGAAACATCTTTTTATAGACACTTCCAATCGGAAAATCGTAATTTGGAGCATGATACAATAAGTTGAAGATAATTTTGTTCTTTCTTTTCAGCCAATTTCACAACTATCTAAAATTTTGTTTTTCCTGTGGTACTTCTAATTTTAAATAAATATATGCTTAAAGAATGGAGCGTTAAATGGGCATCTTGTTTTATATTAATAAGTAATTTAAAATGAACTGAAATAAAAGAAAATTATTAGGACTTTGTATAAATTGTTATATAAATTTACAGCCGCTTTGGTGGATTGACGAGCTTAGTTGTTTTAGCATATATTCATCTATGAACGGTAACATTATCAGGTACATAAATATTTTAACAGAATTTTGTTTTTATATCGTATAAAACTTTCAACAAGTTAATAACTACTTTTCAAGGATTATCATTTTTTATGCACATATCTCAAATGCTTGCCATAAATACCACCGACAAGAAATACCACATATTTATATAAAATATCTTACTATTGGCTTAGCCAAACAGTCCTAGCTTTTTACAGCTCTTGCATCAAATATTTGAAATGAAACTACTTTATCATATTTTTACCTCATCTTAATTCACTTAAATGAAATTTCTTAAATTAGATTTTACAGGTAGATGCAAATATTTTAGAAATTTATAATTATTTACTAGAAAAACATCGAGAAACGAATTATTCATGGCAACTTAAGCATTTCATTTTCACTTACCGGATGAACATCGATGAAAAATGTATGCTTATCCTTATCCGGAGGACTAATTCCTTCAACTGCGGTTAGGAAACTATCATCTCCCAAATAAAAATGAGGAAAACTCAGCATAATTGGCGAATCTTAAAATGAATGCAACATATAATATTTATAATATATAAGGTAAGCATATGTGATATGTCAAATAATATTACCATATTGGCAAAGTGATACATTGAATAATCCCTTTGGCGAACAAGATGGCTGGCCCGCTGGGCAGAAACATGCATTTTCAGGATTACTTTCAACGTCCCCAAATACATTTTCCGGGGGCGTGAACCTATATCCTAGAACATTTTCCTTTATTTGAACTTCTTTTTCGTAAACAAGCGGCAAAAGCCTGCATAAGTCCTTATCATATACGAACAGAATGCGATCTTTTTCAATATGAGGTGGGAATATTGATCCATCTGTGCCATTTAACCTATTGCAATTATCGCTTAACCAGTGAGGGAGATAAGATCTGCCATTAAACTTATCGATTATTCCATATTGAGTAATATCGTCTACTCCTGTGAAAATAGTTACTCGATCCTAAAAAGAAAGATTGTAATAAATTTTATTAATTATTATCATGCACCACGTCCTATAAAAATTATTATCATGTTAGACTCACTGTTGATGTTCCATTTTTGCCATACATTAGACCAAATTCTTCGTATGGTAACTTTTGTTCCTTCGGAACAACATCCTTTGCTAGTTTAAGAAGCGGGTCCTCATAGCCCCAAAGTAATTGACCCACAGAAACTTGAACAAAAGGTTTTATTTTTAAAATGTCCATTATACTGGCCATTGCAAGTCGCAGAAATCTGAAATAGGAATGTATATAAGAGCGAGACTGTGGACATTTTAATTAAATTACTAATATATAATTTTTATATCTTTTTGAACTACGATTAAAATATTAGTATGTGCACCTTGCTGCGTGTTTGCTTTGAGATGTTGCACTTAACATTGGAATGTTGGGAACGATAACGACATCATCTTCCATGCCGACAGAAAGGTCCTCACGAAAAATGTAAATTTTTTTTAAATTGTAACTTAATGTACCATTTTCGTTTTTAACAACATTGACCTTCTCCCATGACTCTCTGCAAAGGGAAAAATAACAGTTATTGTAGATACAAATAATAAATAATTTGTTCTTTCATGTAATGTAGCTAAAAGTGTTTAAGTTCTAACACCTTAGAATTAAAAATCTTCAAACTTGTATTTTACTAATAAATATGTATTCAAAAAAGCTCCCTTAATTTTCTTTCGCTTCTGCAACACTCAAAAAAATATCAAAAAATTTTTCCAAAGGAGTAGAGAAGTTAAAGCCTTTTGTCTGACTTTATTTAGGATACTTTTGTCGCTTATTATGGTACTTTTCTATTTGTCTCCCCATTTACGTTCACACAGAGACACTTTTCCCAAGCAATTTTTTTTACATTTCTTTCTTTATCATTCTTTCAATAGAGACATCTCCTTTATTTGAAACTTGCAATTTTTCGTTCACTTCGCGCTTTTTAATATTTCTTAAAAATAAAAAAAACTATTCGCGTGTAAAGGAAGACACGGCCTTTATCCATTTATTTCTTATTCATATTTTTACACTCTATGCTTTCGAAAGTGTAATCTAATTACAAATCTTTACATATATCATCCTTTTCACTATCATTAACGTCAATCCCACCAGCTTCTTTAATACATTATGATATTTCTTGCATTAATTCAACTTTATCTGAACATATAATAATTAGATACAGGTACAGGCATATGTATATGTTTACAAGCACATATATTATTTTAGTAAACACACAAGTTTCAATTTCCAAACTTACGACATTTATTCGCTTCAAATGTAAGACAGTTACAATCAGTTCAAAGTGGAAAACAAAATCAAAATCTACAGATACGAATAGATACACGAAACATGTCGAACGAGCACAGCGATACGGTGCGCAGTCGCCTTCGTCGTCGCCCTCTCCCCTACACACAAGTATTTCGTCTACAAAAAGTATACCCGTGTAAACTCAAACCTTAGAACTTAATGGCTTACATATATTAAGATAAATAATAATTTTTTACTTTGAAAATGCTCTTTTTGAGCTTGCTTTTTGTACAATTTTCACTAAATCGCTCTATATTCAAATTGAAAATGTGCATTATGTTGACGCTGATTTAAATTAATTGAGATATTTTCGTAACGATTGCTGTTATATGCTTTTAAAATGGTAATAGTAAGAAATATTATAACACAAAGTGTCCCAAAAATGTGTTCATTCAATTTTAATCCAAATTTATTAAGAGAGGATTTATTGTGTATCAAATTAGAAAATCTTTTGTAATTACTCCAGATTATTAAGGCTAATCCATCGTTAACATATTACATATACCTAGCATTGTTAGAGAGTTTCTGCGAAAAACTGTTTATAGTCACTCCGAATGAGCCTCAATCACTGTATTTATTTCTTCGGACTTGATTTTAGCGCCTTCATTAATGTCTTATTGAATCGGAGTTTAATACATTTCGTAAGTATATTTTTCTCCCTGAGAGGGGCTAACTCAAATTATAAAAAAAATGGTTTTAAAAAATACAATGAAGTCCGAAAAATTATTCTTATCATAACCTTTAACCGTTTTCTTCTATGTAAAGTAAAATTGTAAAAACAAATCACTAGATTTAAAGTTAATAGTATGTTCAAACTAAACATAATGGTAAGTGAGCTTCAACATGTTAAATGACTCAAATAAAATTATAAACAAATTAAATCACTTGCAACAGTTTTTATAAATTCAATTTACTAAACCGTTTAACATCAGAACACCTTTCAGAAAGTGAATAGAGCTAAATCTGTTATTTTTTGAAAATAAAACAATTCCGAAACTCGAAATTCGGTAAGTAAGACAAAATGGGTTCCACACCTTATGAGAGTCCCATTATTTAGGTATTGTGAGACCACATCTTAATTCATCATTCGTGAAGAAAAGCGAAACAATCAGGTATTTCACAAAATACCTACTGGCTGATTGTGGTTGCAGCGTCACGCCAGTTAAACTAGAAAATAAAACCTGACAACAATAATTAGGAATTTCAGTCTCTCTGGCATTGTGTTTTCATCTCAAAAATTGGTTTCCGAGCAGCTCTTTCATTTCTTCCGTTTATATTAAATTTACTGTTTTCAACAAATTCACGAAATTATTATTCACGCTTTGAACATGATATATTTAAAAAAAGTTATGCTACAACAATTGTTGGAATAGTATGAGATCACAGCTAATAACTTTTTCATTACCAGCGTTTGGAGAAATAACGAAATGGATGGAACATTTTGATCAACAATTTCAATGAATGGTAGCCGAGTGGTTAGCATTGCGCACTGTCATTCGGCTCGGCAAAAAGGCAAAAACTTATAAAAAATTAACTTAAAGAAAATATTAAGTTCAAATTTCTAATGTCGGTCGCCCCTCGGCAGGGAATGTCAACCCCTCCGAGTGTAAACTACAAATTGAAAGGGGAGCTCGGCCGCAAAATTGCTAAGCGGTTACAAAGCGCCAGTTGTATATAGCTATACATATTATATATAGATGGGACTTTAGACATAATTTAAGAAATTGTAATAATTTTTTGAATTTCCTAATTAAAACAAGAGGGCGAGCTAAAAATGTTGAATTTCTGATTTGAAAAAACTCATACTAAACAAAAACGCTACAACACGAGCAAGAAGTCAAACACAAAGATTCCTTTTTTTATATTCAAAAGAATGAGTATTCTAGGCCAAAAAAATGATTGGTTTACAATGGACTTTGGAGAAATATTTCAAAATTAAATATAGAAATTTTGCACACTAACGCATATGACATTAGATGATTGGCACTGTCTTTAGAGCTCTACGTGTTTCATTGCAGCATTATGAACATAATCAAATTATTCATCGAACTTGCCCTGATATGCTTTTATTATATTTTTAAATAGCTATTTCCAGTTTTTAAAAAAAGTGACTATTTTCTGCTAAACCTATATATTTTGCATTGAAGGGTTTATATTAAATAAGTTTTCTAAGAAATGATGATTTTCGTTTTTTAATATTACTTTATACTATGTTATATCATATAGGAAATATAGCAAAAACTTACGTGTACACGTATGGGCCCACTTCGTCAAGAATTGGCTTGGAAGCATTATTCAAAAACTCATTTGCATTCGTAACATTGTACACATAAACGGAAATTTTCGGCTCCACTGGTGGCTTGGCCCACCATCCAAAGGTTTGACTCCCCGGGCGAAGAGCAACTTGGTAGTTTATAATTAAATTTATTAGCGCTGTAAATTCACATGTGATCAAAATTCCAAGAATGAGAAGGCATACTGCTATAGCAATTGTAATCCCTAGATTGAAAATATATACAATTAAATTAATTATATACTCAAAAAATGTATTTCAACGATATGTACTGAATGTGTAATCCACTATTTTGTATTAGATTTATTTCAGAGCATGCGCAATTGCTAATGACTAAAACTCGGTTTGGTGTTTCGATTATAATAAATTTTAATCACATTTTAAATATAAAGCACAATATATAAATTCAATATATTAATATTGAATTTCGCTATACTTACACCATTTTCTTAAATATGTACTGTAAAGTTTTGTGCAAAATTTGTGCTTTCGGCCCTGCATTGCGAATCCTAAAATTAAAAAGTGTAACAATAATGTGAAAAAGAATAATCAAATAATATAAAGATAAATTAGTTTCTCTACTTATTAATTCAAAAGATGTCTGCAACATATTCACCAACCTGCCATTTAGTTTTAAGCAATAACATTGCGAATATTGCTCAGAACTTAGGTTAATTTTAGTAGACATTGATAACAAAGAAGTTTCAAGAAATCATTCGTTATAAGCCACCTGCTAACTTAATGGAATTATCAGGCTTTAATCTTAAGCTCGCCTCTAACATTATGTGGAGAAAATGAAATTTTAATAAAAATGATACCACTTTTATTTTCAGAGTGATGCTCTGTTACCCGAACAGCAGTTAGCAGGTGGCTTAAGAAATTGTTAACACATTTGGAAAATCTTACGATATCCATAAACGCAATATGACATATCGGCATTAAGTGAGCTTGTTTTGCAAATATATAATATATGAGTAGTAGTAGTAGTAGTAGGCAATACCAATTTTACACTTCAATGTAAATAAAATCAATCAAATCTTTTAAGTGCAAATCGAATCTGAATTCCAAGACTATTTCTGACATAAAATAAAAAATCCTTTACTTAGCATATAGGGAATATTATTTCATCTAAGGGAATACAAATGTATTTTCCAAAACAACCAAAACCATAAGCTAAATTCAACTCGAACATAACGACATAACAAAACTTTCGGTTAACATCGTTTATAAATGGTTTCTTCCGTGCTACTATTCCATTATAATTATTTTTTCATAAGACTATTCGGATACTCTCCGGATTACAATTTATATTGAGATGTTGCAAAACTTCTCTTGATAGCTTGGGAGCGCTAATGTTTGGATTTTTTTGATTTGCTGCACTACCCACCGCTCATCTGCAGCCGAAAACAACTTCGGTCGTTCAGACTTCTTTTAGTTTTCCATTGATTATGTTTGCTTGATTCGTTTAATCACGTCATGCACAGTCGAGCGGCATCTGCTCACAATTTCTGCGATTTCCCGAATGGTTTTTACTATTTCAAAATGACTAATAATTAACTTCCTTACTTCAATTAAACTTTGTCCACGCTGTCTACCCATGTTTAAACATTTCACCTTTTTTCCAAAAAAAAAAACTACTGAAATTTTACGTTTGATTATATACATACGTATTGTATTTTTAAACGAAAACAAACTAATTGTGGGATTCCTCTTTTTAACACTGTATGTATTTTCTTTTGTTGTAATTCATTAAAAAACTTATTATGGTTCAATTAACTTCAAGGTGTCTCATTTGAAATGGAGTTGTTTGAAACTTTTTTAAAAGCCAATTGACTCTCAAGAATTCGACGTCCAAAATAGAATCATATTAATTAGCGTATTAGAATACGGAATTAATATAAGGATAGAACATTCCATATATTAATTCTTTAACCATTTATCTCTACACTCCGAACTTTTATGTTGTTGTTGTTGTGGTTGTTGTTGTTATTGTAGCGGTTCGCTAACCCCGCTTAGGCACAGGTTTGATCAGTCTAAGTCGCCGAGGTCATCTAGTAGGAGGTCCAGGAAACGAGCTGTTTCGACAGGGTTGGACCAAAGGGAGAGGAGGTTAGATGAGTTGGTTTGAGAGGGCATGTGAAGAGGTGGTTAGTGTCGTGCGGAGACTCTCCGCACCTTTATAGACACTTTCGCTTGAACTAACAAATTTTATTCAATTTCTCTTTCCTCCCATTCATTCCTCTACTTCTACCATTATTCTTACCGCATTCAGCGTTTTAATTTATGAGCCATATTTCGATCTTTATCTTTCAAATAACAAAAATTTCAATACTATACTTATTCGATTATTATGTTTGAATAGCTCTGCTCACGACCAGAAGACGTATATATATGAAATTATATACGAGTATGTGTTAATATATAATTATTGCGTACCTTGACTAAGGTCACACACATAAATTAAATTTGTGCTTAAAAAGCCGTTAACATCGTTATGAAAAGTAAATGTATTTAAATTTCGTTGGGTATAACATAGAAGCTACACATAAATTGCAACGTAAGCAAATAAATAAATTATTCTTCATGCGTTTTTAATTTCAATATATATATTAATATTTAAAAATATTTTGTATATAAACCGATTAGTATCCTCATCACGTTTTCTTCGAGGTTATGACTCAAGTTTGTATATTCGCAGGAGCTTAATGTCTTTTAAGACTTCGCACCAAATACAAAAAGTAATACAATGCCAATACAGCTCAATTGCGCATAAAGCTCCATATCAAAACAACTATTTGTGTATGAAGGTATGTAAACGCGCTCATAGTTATGAAGAAAGAAGCGGCACAGAAGAAAGCCAAAAGTGAACAAAAGTTGCATACAATCAAATTCCAAGGTGATCAAGAAGCATTTCAACACTTTTATTTAAGTATCAAATGTATGAGTATAAGAGTATATGTATGTATTCAAATATAATTATATACACACTTTTATGTATATACATACATAAATTTGCGTACATAACATTATATATATCTATATATATTATATATAGATTTATGCGTATTCGGTATAATTATCATCTTCACCTTCATTCGTACAAACACACTTGCAATGATATAAAATGTTTAAGTAAATAAGCATTCAAGTTATTTATGCGAATAAGCTTAATATCTTTGAACGACAGGTATTTACGTGTATGCGAGAAAAACGAGGTTTATTTTTTATTTCGTAAAGACTTTGAACCGTCTATTTTATCTAAAGAAGCATGTACTTACATACATGCGTTATTTGTGTGTATATGAAAAGCACCAGAAATTCGCTTAGCTGTTAATATCAATTGAAGTTTATCCGGTTGTAAGTTTAGTTTTCCAATTACTTTCTTGATCTTTTTGTATTGTGAATATACACGAGTCTATGCACATACATATGTCATAAATATTTTAGAAATGAGACTGAAAGCTTTCATCATAGTAAATTACAGTCTGTTTTTCTTCTTACACGATAAATGCATAAATGTATATTTTAAAATGCTCACTCGTAACTATGGGCATACACACAATTGTGTACATATTTACATATTACGTGTGTACATAGTGACTACCTCAAACTTATACACTGAATTTTGAAGCACAGTCGTTCATACATATACACTAACATATATTTATAGATAAAACAAATGCAAATATGCAAACTTTTTATTTAATGAACGCATATATACATACATATGTTTATGTATTTATGTACATATGTATATATGCACATATGTATTTACAGTAGTATATAAAAATGGTAAAAGTGAAAACAAGCTGTCAACTAAAATGGAAATGACTGTTATTTTTGTGATAAACTCTGCATTCGGCGCTGTAAACTAATTAGCTTTTCTTTTCTAATAACAATTTCGTTAACACTGTATTTATATAATATATGTGTGTGCTTAAGTGTGTATTCGTATGAATACTTGTTGGAAAAACAGCTACCTCTGATTAAGCAATTTCTTAAAACTTCTCGCGAATCGAATTAATTTCGAAAATGTATGCACTGCAGAAACACGACTTGTACAGCGGCAACAAAATAACTTGGCATACGATGCCACCGATGTCTCTGGAAGACTAAAGACAAGACTTCGGTTGCAGATTGAACATTGTAGTGTGAATACAAAACCTGCTCGGCAAGTTGTACTTTGCTCAATATTTTTACAACAAATATCACGCAATAACATAGTTTGGATAAGAGATGATTAAGTATACAAAGGTAAGCTTAGAGGTAGAGTTTGTGCTCGAGCTTTTAAAAAGTAAGCAAAGTCGAACATTTTCATCTCAAGTTCAGTATAAGTCAATTCTCTTATATTGTTTTATTCTCTTTATTGTTGGCACAAAAGTACACTAAGGCAAATGCAGGGAAACTATCTGCAATATTAACAAGTTTGTCGCATTATTGAAATCTTTTGTTTTGTTTCTATGTGCATACTCGTACGTACATATGATTTGAATGGAAACTTTTAATCACTGAATAAACTATATTAGTGTGGATTTTTGTTGAAATAATAACTGCGGGTAAAATCGATCAACTTTTGCGCCACCCGTGCGGAGATGATGTTTAATTTATTGCATATGTATAAAATCTACATAAAGAAAAATTAGCAATGCCTGAAAAATTGGTGAATCGATTTCTATTCTGTAAAAAAATATTTTTCGCTAAGACATTAAAAAAAATGTGAAATTTTCTTAGCAACCAAACCAAGAATATTTCATAAGGGTTGCCACCTGTATAAAAGTTTAACAAGGCAAATCAAGTATTACAAAAAGAGAATATTAGGTTTAAAATAGAAAATATTTTTAGAGAACGATGCACCTTATTCAAGTTTTAACAAAATCTCGACATACCAATAATCTCGTAGTAATTGTGGGCAGTAAGCTGTTGTGAAAGCTCATTCCATTCGTTTGTAAGAAGTTGATTGGTGCTACATAGTGTATTTCGCTTGGCCAGCAGCAAAATATTTGGCAGGGTGCCATAATCTAATCGCTTGTGAGGAACGAAATACTTGATGAGATTACAAAGAATTTTGCCGAGCCAGTGATGAATTAAGAAAGAAATCAATGGCAGTGTACAATGAAGTATCCAAGAGAAAGATGAGGAAACAGGTTGTATTAGCTAGAGGACTTTACAATGCGAAGCACTCTTACTGGAAATCTAGTCTAATAAATCCAAAAGGTCGCCAGTCATATAATACGGATATGTGTTCCCAAAATAGGTTTGACTTTATTTTCTCAGGGCCGTCAATTTACTGGCCTACAGACCTAAAGAAATTTTCTGGTCTCACTGACTTTGAAGTCATCAATATCGTAGATAAGAATTTAGTATTTGCTGAAACCTGTACAGACTTATGCACAGAACAATCCTCAGTAATTATAACACTAAATGAAGAGCAAAATGAAAGTCAGTAGCCATTTCGTCTTACAACATCTATAACTAACTGGCAAAATATAAAAAAAAAACATTAGCACACAGAGACCGGAAACTGAAGAGTAAACATGACCAAAATAAGGAAGTACTTATATTTAACAACATGCTAACAATAGTATCAACTATTGCTACTCCTAGTCAAAAAACTTCGCTAAAGGCCGGAAAAACTAAGGGTAACAGCGAAATAGAGTTTCATGTCCGAAGCAAGCGACGCTTGCATCGCGTATGGCAAGCCAACTAATCTAAACAAGACATTAAAATACGAAGAAATAAAATTATGAAAACTTTATAAGGGTTTTGTATCCCAATGCTTCTACTAATAAATTGCTTTGGAAAACTAGCAAAAACTTTAAGCCACATGTAAGCACTGAAGCATCGCTGAAACTGCGTAATGGTTCATGGCCCAGAACAGATGAAGAAAAGGCACATAACTACGTTATTAACCATATTGATATATATATATCGACAAGTAAAAAAGCTCATTCGGTTTTTTTATGGATTTCACAAAATATGATAACTTTGTCCGCTTTAAATAAATAAATTTTCACTGTCCTCTCTTGAGGCAAACTTCTCACCATTAAGTGCGTTCGCCACGGACAGGAAAAGATGGTAATCACTTGGTGCCAGGTCCGGACTATAATGTGGGTGCATTAGGATCTCCCATCCGAGCTTCTGGAGCTTCTGGCGCGTCACCAAAGACGTGTGCGGCCTGGCGTTGTCCTGATGAACCACAACTCGGCCTCTGTTGATCAGAAGAGACCATCTTCTTCTGGATAAGTGCTGCCCTAAAGCGGTCCATTTGTTGGCAGTAGAGGGCCAAATTGAGCGTTTTGATCCCAATCTAATCCCACTAAGCACACATCAAAACCTTCCTGGCCGTCAATCCGGTCTTGGCCACCGTCTGGACCGCTTCGCCGAGCTCTGACCACTTTGTCATGACCCATTTTTCATCGCCAGTCACAAGCCGCTTCAGAAACGGGTCAATTTATTTGCGATTCAGCAGCGATTCGCAGATGAAAATTCGGTCCATCATGTTTTTTGGGTTAGTTCGTGTGGCACCTAAGCAACGAGCTTCTTTTTTAATTAAATGTTAAGCAAATGGTTCCAAATGGTTTTCTGGCTTATCTTTAGTTCCTCAACAATTAAATAAATGCTCACGTGACGGTCTGTTTCCACTATTTCCATGATTTTATCCCAATTTTCGACCACAGGCCTCCCGACGCTTGATTCACCTTTGACATCAAAATTACCGAAACGGAACCTAGCAATCCACTTTTGTGCTACACGTTAGTTTACACTATCGAGTCCATATAACAAATTAATATTTTCAGCCGCTTTGGCTGCTTTTTCGCATTGATCGAAGAAAAATTGTAAAATGTAGCGAATTTTCTCTTTGCTGGTGTCCATCTTTGACGACCGCTCACAACGTACTGTAAACATGTTTTCAGCGCCGTATAGTGATGATGCGACACGGAACTTTAGCACTGTGGACAATAACGCCATCTCTTAGATAAAAACCGAAGTTTTAATTTGACCGAATATATTGCGTATTGATGTTTTTTCAACAAATGGAACAGTTTATACTAAGCCGCCTCCGAACGGCCGATTGTTTTTTTTATAAAAAAATCCACTCAATCCCTACATCCCCTGCCGAGAGGCGACAGCAAATAGAAAATTTAATTAGAAAATTAATTTTTTTTAACTTTTTGGACACTAGTACGACATCAGGATTTGAACCAGAGCCGAATGGCAGTACGCATTGCTCACCACCCGTCTACAGCGGTCACCAAATGCTGCAACAATAATGGACCTTCATCGCCGAACCATACTGCTCCACGATACGCTGTTACTTGCGGAGCACCTGTGTCTAAACTAAATAATTATATTTACTACCATAAGTCAAAAAAAAATTTCTTTTTTCTTGCAATGCTTTTCAGTGCTATTTAAAAGTTAGGATATTGTCAACATATGTGGAAAAACGGCGCTGATAATTATGATAGCTAAACCTGATAAAGACGCAACCCTGCCGTCATTACGACCCATCAAAAATTGCTCCTTTTCTCCATGCAATAATACTATAAAAGCCTAAACATCAAATTTATTTTCGAGAAAAATATGTTCCAATTAAACAATCAAATCGTGTAACAAATGAAATAAAGAAAGCTTGCGAATTCAGAGAGTATTTCCCGGTTGTTTTTCTTGATGTCGCTAAAGCATTTGACATGGTATGCATCATGCCACAAAATTAAACAAACAGGTTCCATAATATTCTTGAATTACATTTATCCCACAGGCGATTCACAGTAAAAGTAAATGAATGCATAATAAAGAAGTATCCAATCACGGATGGTGGTACATAGGGTCTTGGACCAATATTGTAGATACTGTTCATGTTGGATATTAATATAATCACAAAATTTTTACAGTAGCTAACTAATTGAATAATGGCTTGAAAAATGGCATATAAAAGTTAATAAAAAATAAGTGCAAAAACATAACTTTTGCACTAAAGCCAAAAACATGCCTTGCTGTCAAGCTCAACAAAGTACCGACGAATGTGACGCAGCTTGCGTAACGGATCTGGATATAATTCAAAGGTTCCAATCGAAAACGTTAAGAGTAATAATTTACTCACCATGGTACATGCGTAAGGAAAATGTCCATAGAGACCTAAATATACCCACCATCAAGGAAGAGATTGTGGCTTTGGGTAGCGCCTTGGTTCATACAACAAGTGCGGTTAAGAGCCAAGGCAGTCTTCCAATGAGCAACATTAAGGCAGCAGCCCATTACTAAATCAGTTGAGCTCCTTCTTCAAACTGCTCTCCCAACCAGCTTATTAAACACCGAGCAGAATCGTAAGTTGATGTCGAGCTCGACATATTTAAAATATACACTCCCCCTCTTACTTTTTACGAAGTTGATAATAAATACTCTCCTCAGAGACAAACCCGATTGACTTGGGTGACTTTAACACCGATAACATCTTCAATGTCTTTTTCACTCTATCTGGAGAATATCTTTTCCACGGAACAGTCGTGACAGCTGCCAATTGTTTCATATCGACTGGCCGAATCGCGGAAATCAACCCGAAATCTGAGGCTTATAGGGAAGAGAAAATCCATTGGCGCTGACGGAATAAACATGATGATGGTGGAACCAGAGAAATGTTATAATGTTGTGCTCTGCAATATCTACTAGGAAATTACCTTAGGGGCCACAAATAATTGATGAAGAGATTAATCTGTCTCTGAGTAATCCTGGAACTACAAAGGTCTGGATGTGAAGCGTGAAATATTTTTCATGTTCATTAAATAAATGTTTAAATAAACAAAAACTACTGATGTGAAATTTGTCAAAACAATTAAAATTATTCGTGTTTATACAATAATACGTTCCGGAGAGACAGTACCGAAAAAGTATGGACGGAACTTTTGCATGTAAGTGCTAAAAACTGAATCAATACAAAATTGAAAGAGTAATCAGTAAATTTTCGTAGTATTTTGTATTTATATATATATACACAATGATTTGGCTGCGGCAATGGCACGAATTTCAGCGGCCCCGATCCTGCTTTCAGACGAACTGCGTCTTAAGAGAAGGTGAACTCTGGTAAAAGAGCTAGAAAGCGCTCCGGGGTCGCTTGAAGCAGTAAAGGACCGAAGGTCCCAAGTATACGTGACC